GTTAGAAACACTTGTGACTTGGGAGAACTCTTGAAAAAGTTTCAAGTCACTTGCTTTCATTCCTTTCTCATGTTTTCCCAACAATACTGCATGTTTCTAGCAGAGAAAGGACGATACACTGAAATATCTTCAAAATGACGGAAAGTACAGGATACACTTCCAGCAGCTAGTAATGACGAAAAAGATTTTAGCGATTCAAACTATTAATCTTGTAATGAAATTGCGCTATTTCTTTATGATGTCACAGTTTCATCAGAAAACAAATATGCTCAAAAACAGTGGCAATGTTTTGATATGATGTCATCATGAACAAGGGCAATATTGCAAGTTGTCCATCAACAATATAAGCTCAACTATATAATCCATGAAGGTAGCTAGAGTTAATAGAGAGCTTATAAGCATGACATTCACGGCAAACAGCAAAGATGGAAGATCATGTGACCTGCTTTTTGGGGACGGGAGAGTGGGCTATTTTGGGGTTGCCATAATCGTGAAAAGTCGCTCTTTCAAATGACTACCAAAAAGCACAAAATTCTTAGGTCTTTAATTCAGCTCTGCCGTTAGCCGTTTGCCGTAAAYGTGATGCTTAAACTCCCTAATAACAAACAATACCCTGTGAGCAGCTGGCTTTTAAAAAAAACAGAAATATAATTGGTGGATTAAGTGGAGAAAAAACTGGCTGTATGCAGGCTATAATTCCTAACTATTTTTCAGTAGTTGATTTTGATTATAGACCAAATTGAAAATTGACTGTCACAAAAATTTTAATAATTGCACAGCTAATTCKAGAGCATTTAAACCAATTGCTAAGCTTTTAATGTATTGCAGTAAACATACTAACAAAAGGCTGCTTTATCAAAAACAAAAGTCACTCAAATTGGTTTTCCACATTTTTTGTGAAATAATTGAAGATATGAATACATGCAGCTACCGTACAAAAAAATTAGGACCAATTAGTGCTGAGAAGTAGACTGACAGCAATTTTGCATTTTGTAAAAAAACTTGAAAAGGTACTAAAATATCTGCACTTCTAGTAGAGAACTAATTAAAAGTGTAGCATAGTGCAATACTCCAAAAAGGAAAAGAAATATTTACAAGCCTAACAAAATGTATATGGGTCTATGAATTAAACCACTCTATGGAGTCACCATTTTCACTCAATTAACACGCGAAAAATATCCTTTCAAAAAAGAATCAAGAACTAAATACAGTATTGTATAATGATTTTGTAAGGTACATTAATTTTCACTATGCAAACATTACGAAACAAGGCATGAATATCAATCAGACATTGTTGACACTGAAAACAGATGTTGAAATCCTGTCAAAAACACAATTTTAATTAAATTTTGTAGTTTACACAGGCATGTCGGAATTATGCGCGGATGCGGACGCGCATAATTGCCCCCTTCCCGCATAATTTACCAAATCGCGCATAATCGCGCATAATTCATGATTTTTTTCCATGTTATACCATTTTTTAAGATGAATTGCCTTCTACTAATGTTTTTTTGATCAAAAAACGCTCCCAAACATGCTTATAAGGCCTTATAATTTTCCGAATATAGTTTTGTTTTCGTGGGCTTCAC